ATCAACATTATCATTATTACTTGCACATATTGGTTTATCGGATCGTTTAATGAATAAAATAGTTTTAGAATTTGCTGCATTAACACAACAATTATATCCTCAAATACTTGCATATACAGTTTTTGCTTTTTTCTTGTGCTTTAATTAATGCACGTTATTCAGCTAAAGTTAATAAATGGACTATACTATCAATGACAAATATTGCACAAAGAAAATCAATATGTATGGCTATATGAAGGTTAACTTGTCTTATCTTAAGTGCATGTCCATCACATAGAATTGCTGATACATTGTAAGTATTTACTTAAATCATTTATCCTTGCTGATTTTTTTTTCTTAGTTCTTTATATTAATCTTTAAAGAAAAAAAAATTGTATTGAAATTTCATATTAATGATTTAATAGTGAATAAATATTGCACGAGTTTTTCTGAATTTATTCTTATGAGTAAAATAAAGTGAAGTCGTATTTGGGATGTTTGATGAGTTATTTTTTTTCCACCTATGGTTAAATATTCTTCCTAGTTTTTCTTTTTAAAAATTATCAAGACTTACACATACGATTAAAATTTATTTGGAAACGACAAATAGTAAAACATTAATGAAAAAAAGCTTCTTTGCTGCAATCCGAAGGAATGACAATTAAAACGAAATCAATAAATTTCGCCATGAAATATCAAAATGAATTCTCATAGATAATATAGTATATCTTTTACTTTTTTAGGTTTTCATTGATGTTATTACGTTTCAGTGCTCATTTTGAAGAATTAAACAATCGTTTATTTCTTATTGCTGCTCGAGAACATCATCTGCAGGCATTATAAAAGAAAATCTATTTTACTTATTTTAGGTAACGAATATTGAACAATGACGTCAATTTGAACAAGCATTCATAAATGAATCGAATCCAGGTTGTGGGTGTTGTTTGGATGTGTTGATGAATCATATATTCTCTCTCATTTATACCTAAACCCTCAATAAAGACTGAAAATATCGATTCATAAAATGAAAATATATCAACAGGAATTCATTTATCTACTTTTTTTATTAGAATCGGTTTCTCTTATAACAATCATATCTAGATTGTCATTAAATTTTAGTTGCATATAATAATACAAAATAGGTTAAGTAAAATATCTCTAGTAAACGTTATTATTGTTTGCAAAAGATAATCAATTTTCATGAAAACTATCAGTCACATTTATTTTGTGCAATTGTGTTCTAATTTTTGTTTGATATGTTGCTTTGTATTTTCATATCCTGTGTTTTATTATGATTTTAATCATTGAGGATGTGGGTGTAACTATTCACAGTTGATCCACATCCACACCCTTTTCATTTTTTTATAAGGAGTCATTATAAAAAATTCGAAAAAGTTTTTATTTATTCGAAGAAATCTGCAGAATATTGAAAATATTAAACTAAAATTAGAATTTCGTTTTCTTTTCGAATATGAATTCGAAATTTTTGTATTTGAAATAGTTTTTGCTTCTACTTGAAGAATTTTTTTTTCAAGCTAAAATTCATCCAAAATGAATTGGTAAGCCTCTAAAAGATCAGCTCATAAATCCTAAACTAGAAGTTCTACAAAAATTTAAAACTCATATGCATAAAGAATATTAAATTCTTATTGTATTCTAATGTTTTTAAATCTCTACAATCTATTTAAAACAATTAAAAAAGAATGAACATATATTCTATTTTTTTTATCATACATTATACAAGATATGGACAAGACTAGTGCGCATATCCACCAATTGAATATGATCTTTCTTATTCTGTTGAAAAATCTTTGTTATCTCGATTCATTTGTATCATCTCATCATCCAAAAATGAAGTAAAATCAAATATTCTTGTTTCTTTTTTGAAAATTTGTTCTATTGAAAATTCTTTAACAACAAATATGAATGAACGACGTCAATCTAAGGTAAGTTTTGTTTAAATAATTTATTAGCTGAACTAAATACAAATACAAAATATAAAAAATATATATATTTTGTTAGAAGATAACCAAATCATAATAAATCTTCAATATATTATTGATGAATCTTCTCTTTATATGTTACTCATTTATGTATTTTGAAACAATCGTCATTTTGATAATCAGACATGAATAAATATTTATTTCAAAGATAAAACATTTCGATTCTAATTGAAAAAAATTACATAAAATCAAACAGACATATGAATAACACTCGAATTTTATTCTCTTTTTATACATTCAAAGAGATATTTTTATCTATCATGTAATTAATAATAAAATGACTCATGATTTCTTCTAACCAAAAAGAAAAATAAATTTCCTAAAATCTGTATAGAATTTAACTTAATGTCACATAGTCACTTTTTCATGCATTTTATGCTTTAGTGTGGTATAATGGATACTAATATTTTTTTTTTTATATATGTATGACTTAACTAATATATACTTAAGTTATTTCGGCAAAATCATAGTAAAAAAACATTGAATTTTTCAAAGAGGTATAGAATAATATATCTTCTTTTTGGATATCAACTATTTGACGTGTGCTATTAGACTTTATTAGCATAAATTTGCACAAAGTAAGAAAAATCTTCAGAGAAAAAAAACAACATTCTGCTTAAATAATTAAGAAACTCTTAAGTATTGGTTTTTGTGCCCATGAAACATTATTTCGAAAAAGAAAGTCAATTTCTTTTAAAACAATAATTCCTAAATTTTGAATTAACTCAATGTCAAATTTTAAAACCATTTCATATACTTAAAAATTTCGAATACAAAAAGAATCTTGGTCATTCATTTATTAAAAAGCTCGTCATAGGTATTGTTTCAATTATAAACTTGAAGTATTTTTGACCTAGTTTAGTTCCGAGAAACATCACTAATGGATCTTATTCTTAAAGAATATACCGACAGATCTATGATAAAGATTTATTGATCTTGCAACAAGATGAAATCTATACAAAACAATTAGATTTAATGACTTTCCTGTTTCGTAGTCGAAGAATAAAGGCAAACGATTAAAATAGTATAGATTACAGTTAAACTCAAAAAGAACAGTATTTATTTATTTAGACGCAACAAGCAATAAAGACTAGATTTTAACTCTCCGTTGTACCACTAGATAAGAAAATTTTAATTAAAAAATTTGACGTATTTATTTGCTAACTTTTCGAAGGTAACATTGTGAAAATTTTGACTCTATGACAACTATTCCTTATTCTAATTGAGATGAAACTTTCAATATTTTTTTTTCCGATAAAACATTTTTGAATAGTACCGAGAGAAAGATTCAAAGACTTTTCATAATCGTTTGAAAAACTTTCTTTTGCTCATGATTTATTTGTTTTTTAGCAAAAAAGATATTTAATTTGTTTTTTTAGTATTCAAAGATTCATGTACACCGTCTCCATTTCAAGATGAATTATTTAAAGATGATCATATTCATTTGGATAGTTCACTAACTTTTTGAGATTCTTGTTGTCTTCAAGCTACATTTCAAGGTGAATCATTTAAAGAAACTATTCATCTATATGATCAATTATTACCATTATGTCCAATAATCGTTTATTTTATTTTTCTTTCTATGAAATTCGGAATCTTTTTTTTTTAAACAGTTATGTTTAAGTACTGCATGTCGAATATGACCTGGTGATTTATCTGATATAGATTGTCGATGGAATATATTAAGTGAAGCTGCTGACGATCGAACAGCTGAAGAAAAAAAACATTTAA